GGGACATTTAAAATCTATTGTATACGCAACGTCGATTGAAAATGCTGAAATACTACGAAATAGAATAGAGCAAGGCTTCCGGCAAATTCGAGAAACACCAGGAATGATAGAGAGAGTAACCAGATGAATGACAAGACGCGTGCAGGCTTGTCTTCAAATGCAACGTGGTCATTTCGAGCATCTTTTGTAAAAGTAATTAAAACAGAAAATTCATCATCTCATAAACGAAGACAGATAGAACATGTATTTATATGACTTTTTTTTCATTATTTTTAGGCGTACAATCAGCTCCCGAACTGGGTCCCACAAGTTACGAAACATTCTGTATAATGGAATTTTAGCACAAATATTTTATCGAGCGTTTGCGTGTGGAATAAGTAAAATATACGTTAGTGTGTGTTTCTGCATTTAATAATAAGTCGGGAAAAAAGGAGTAACATTTTTTCATATAACATTTCTTGAGAAAATCGAGTTTGAAAATTTATCGAGACAACTTCTAACGAAATTCAGTCTATTTTCTTAAAAATGAAGCTGTAAATGAAACAATTTTGTTCTACATTTTTTACTTATTTTCAAATACAGGATTCTCTCCTATCAATTATTCTTTTCTATCGTATTTGGAATTAGTAAAAAACAAAGTGAAAACTTTACGCTTTGAAACATGACCAAATAGATTGTCATATCATTTTCTTTCACGGAGTTGTAACGATTTAAAGTGTCGACAATTTTCCGTCGTTGCGTATTCGATTATGCTCCTCACTGTACATTGTCAGGAAACTTGAATCGCGATACTTTTCCTGTAATCCCTTTGCAATTAAAGGGAATGAACGCCACGTTTCTTTATCTTTGTCTTTATCGGTTACGCAAGTTTCGTATTACGCTCGTGTAACCGAAAGTTACAGTCATTAAACGTCAACTAATTTCCTTCGTTGATCGCCGAGATCTTTCGATCAAGTTTCTCAACTGAAATTCCTACTAAAAAAAAAAGAGAAAGAAAAGAAAAAAAACAGACTCTCTCTAATTTCCCTCGCTTAACATGCAATTTCCCCTGCAGAGATACAATCGTTGCGATCGTTGCTAGGGGCTCAGTGTCGCAATCTCGGCTCCGTGTCGTTGTTACCGATCATTTCGATAAAACAGGGTGGCGCAACGGCGATCACGGCGTTCGCGACGACGACAATTTACAAGTCTCGTTGTTGGAACGAGGCGGTGATCGATCAAATCATCGAAGATGGGGACACGTTCTACTGCGAGTCGTACAAAGACATAAACACGGACGATCGGCGACTGCTGTCGATCCTCGACTTGAAGAGGACGCTGGTGGTGCAGGGCAAGCTGATGGTGAACGTGAGCATCGAGGATGCCGCCTACGCCGGGAAATTTCGTTCGACGGAAGTGACGGAGCTGCACTTGGTGAAAGCGTTGGACTTGTTCTTCAAGCGGCACGACGCCGGGATCCTGTCGTCGCCCGTGTTGAACGTGGCGATCTGGAAGGACGCGAAGTATTATAACCTGTTCGACGGCCAACCGAGGAAGGAGAACTGCGAGCCAGCCGCGGACGGTGCCAGCGGAACAGCCAAATTGTTCCTGGTGAAGGACCAGATCGGTCTTCTCTTCATCATCCTCGAGAAGAGCAACGTGAAGAACGAGCCTTTCGTCCTGTACGCGATAACGATCAGCGGCGTGGATCACTATACCCAGCCGATAGACGCTGAGAAGCTCGAGAAGGCCAATCACATCCAGAGGCGACCGAGCGGTTACAAGATGCACGAGAAGTATCGAGCGGTGGTCCAAGGCTCTTATCACGTCACCCATCCCGCGATACCAGCCCCGCTTCGCAATCGAACATTCCTGATCATAGCTCTGGCAGCTCTGGTCTACTCGCGGCTGGTGAACGCCAACAAATGGACCAGGGCACTGATCGATCTGATCTTCAACCAGTCCAACATATACTTCGTCGACCTGGTCCGCGCCCTCGACAAGGACTTGAAGGACGAGGAGTTCGAGCTTCGTTTGGACGACATCATGGGCGACGTTATCCTCGGCGCGTACTCCGCGAAGGTGAAGATTCGAACGAACGTGGTGCCCGGTTACGGGCAGAAGAAGGGAAAACTCGCGATCGACGACGGTATACGCGAGTTCTTTCAAACTCAGCTGACCGGTCTGCTCGAGATCAAGAATCTCTTCTACGCGATCTGGAGGCACGACGACACGTACTACTTCATGGATCCTTTCGCTTGCGACGAGGAAGGTTTCAGAAGCGGCACCGCCGAGATAGACGGTTCGGCGGTACCCGGCGAGGCTGCCTGCGTGACGATGAACAGCTCGATCAACCAAGTGGTGGAGACCATCATGGAGAACACGGGCAGCAGGGACAGAGATCCTTTCGTCATCCACGGGGTTCGCGTTCTGTACGTGAAGACCGGGATCGCGCCGGGCGGTCCTTTGGAGAAAGTGATCTATCGTGAGAAAGGGACGAACCGCAGGCCACAGGCGCCGCCAACGCCGATGATGAAGGACAGCGTGATGAAGTTCGACGAAATGGTCGACACGAGGCCGAGAGTGAGACCGGACGTGAATAGAACGAGGAACGCGCACGTGCAGGTGCCAGATCTGTTGAAATACGCGGAGTATTACATGAGGATGGACGACGAGCCAATGACTTATGTGATCGTGCCGCCTGAAGCGAGAAAAGAGCCGGAGGAAGAACTTGGCGAAGAGGAGGAGGAGGAAGAAGACTTGGAGAGACTGCGAGCGGAAGCTGGCGATGTCACGGAGGAAGAGGAGGAGGAGGAGGAGGAGGAAGAGAGACCTCCGGAACAAGAGGAAGAGGCAGAGCCGGTCGAAGAACCGGTCGTGAGGGTGATCAAGGGTTACAAGGTGATAAATCCTAACCGTTTGGTCCTCCAGGGATCGAAGAACTGTCTGGACGAAAGTTTTGACGAGTGGTCGAGAGGGAGGCAAGGATTGATAGCGGCTCTCGCTGCCTTGGCCTACAGGAGATTAAAAGAGCCAACCAAGTGGCGAAATATGGACGTCGATCAACTGATCGACGTGAGCAACAAGATTTTCGGCGAGGTTGTAGACTGGATCCGAAAGGGACGTCCGAAGATAAAGGAAAAAATGGAGGAAATCGCCGGGGAAGTGGAGGAAGAGGAGGAGGAGGAGGAGGAAGAGGAGATGGAGGGAGAAGTCGAGGAGAAATTGTTACCTAGACCGAGTCACTTGGACATGACGATGTTGCCCATTCGTTTGAAGATGGGCGAGAACGACGTGTTCTTCAAGACGAAGATGAAGATAATCGAGGGTGAAGCGAGCCCCCTGGCGAATCTTGCAGAGGCTCTCGAGTGTTACTTCAATCGATACCCGGAACTAGTTCTGGAGAACAAACGGCTGATGTACGGTGTTTGGAAGGATGGCGCCAACTTCCACGTGTTCAATCCTTACGGGAGCGACGAAGAGGGTTGGCGTTTGCGTGACTATCCGGCTTCGTTCGCGGTGGTAGGCAGTTTGAACGAATTAACCGATCTTCTTTACGGCGTGCTGGAGTTCAACGATCCTTCGTTCGTGATTCACTTCGTGGGGCTGGACTCGATACAACCAGGCCTGTACACTGCCGTCGATGATGTAACAGTGCCGCACGACGCCGCGATCGAGCTGTTCAAAACGAGATTCTTGCCGATCACGGACGACGACGTTCAAAGATTAGAGGCGGAATTGAAAGCGGCAGAGGTGGTCGAGGAAGTGCCGGAGATTGTAGACGTAGATGTCATGGGCGAAGAAGAAGAGGAGGAAGAGGAAGAGGAAGAAGGTAGGAGGCCCGTGAAGAAGTTGCACGAGGTGGTGGAGAAGCCTCTGGTCGATCCATTGCTGGAGACTCGAGAGCAAGATCAGCCGGACGCGCCCTACCGATTGAACCTAGTTTTACTGACATCCAACGTGAAGGTTTTCGAGGAAAACGAGAAAACCATCGATCAGCTGCACGAACAGAGAGCTCTGGAGAAGCTAAAGTATAATCATCCTCCTCCTTACGTCCTGCCATCCAGCAAAACCCTGTTGAAGCTCATAGAGGCGAAACGTGCCAAAAGATCCATCCCGTCTTTGGTATCGAGGTTCTCCATAGATTCGAGATTGGACGTAAAGAAAAAGGGCGGTATTTCCGCGCTGTATTTGGCCGGACCGACGATCGTCATGCCGACCGAGTACGACTCGACATTTTCGAAAATGATCAAACTCTCCCCGAAGAAGTATCTGTACTCCAGAATTTTACCGATCTGCCTGATGCCTCTGAGAGCTATCAACGACATGTACATACAAGACGAAGATCTTACCAAGGCTTTGCGCGTGGAGGATCTACGAAGAATGGTGGAGGAGCGACGGAAGGCCAGAGAATGTATTCAACAGCCTGTGCCGGAAGTGCCTGTGGGAGTTCGCATACGACCAACGTTGATACCACTCGGCCCGATCGTAAAAACTCCGACTCTCGAAAGGAAACCGATCACCTGTGTCGAAAAGAAGAAACGTAAATGCTTGTTGAGTAAAGCCGACGAAGGCGACGCTCTGACTGAGAAGATCCTCTGCAACACGGAGGATCTGTTGCTGGAACTGTTCTTCCCTGACTTTAAAGCGAAGGATCAGGTTCGTGTTCTGGAATACTTGGAATACTTCTACTGAGTGTAGACTGAAATTCGGTACTAACGATTTTTCTCGTCGTTGCCGACAGCTTTTGGAACCGAAAGTTACCGACTCGAAGATCTATGAATTCCAAAAGGCACCCGAAACGACGATTAAGAGAAGCGGCGGTCAGAAGAAGAAACCGGTGCAGGATGTTCGCGGTTTGAAAGTGAGCTATATCGTAGCTGTAGTTAGAGAATACAAAGGAGATCTCTGGTTATCATAGTTATCACGTATTTTCATTCTAAGCTTACGGAAGATGGGATCCGAATACTTCACGGCAACATGTCCTTCGAAAACCGCGCCGAGATCGAGACCTGTCACTTCAAATCTTGCTTCTTCACCGCTCTGCTGTGCATTCTCGCGAAGATCAAGCTCGATCCGGATCGTTTCAGCGGCAAGATCCTCGATCAACTCGTATTCCTCGGCGACAAGATCTACCAACAAACTGGCAAACTACGATACAAACCCTACCGATGGTTCCATCACGTCGAGATCCTCGACACGATATACAACGTGATCACGAAACAGGTTGTCTACGCGGATCCGAAGCTCAACGAAGACGACGATCTGGAATTTGTGCTGGACAATTTCTTCGAGAAGAACAAAACGGGGATCGTAGTGTTCGCGAATTGTTCGTACGCCGTTTGGACAGCGAACGATCGATACTACCTGTACGATCCTTATCCCTGCGACGAGAGGGGGAACGCTGCAGAGGAAGGTTACTCCTGCCTCATGGAATTCTGCGACATGATATCGATGATTAACAAGATCGAAGCCAACATCGGCGAGAACGTTAAGAAACCATACCGAGTGTACACGATATGTATAGCCCATATGGAGACGAGGAGGAGAGCGAGGAAAAGACGAAAGAAAAAGTGGGTTCGCTCTGTGGAGAAGCAGGTGGAGGAGGTTGGTGTGGAGAGACAGGTGGAGGAGCCAGGTTCTGGAAGGTTCCACGAGCTGGAACTGTCCAACGTGTCGGAGGCGTCTTTGATCGAGTCGGCCGACTGGGTGAAACACGAGTCGAAGACCAGTCTCGCGTACGACATGACGATCCCTGGTTTCGCTCCCATCAAACATTACAACGCCTCGATGTTCGACGTGACCGTTTTGGAGAACGAGATCACCGCGCCGTTGTTGGCGCCCTTCAAAATGTCTTCGATAAGAGAATCGGAGAAGATGGACGACGAGATGGAAGCGGTGAAGCTGTTGGTCAGGAAGAAGGTCTACGAGAGGAGGTTCAAGCCGCACACAGCGGTCAGCACGCCTTTGGATCTTTGCGTCATGGCCTGGTCGTTGATCCACGATCCGATCACCTGGTCCGTTAGGGCGGTGAGAGGATTGTTCGAGGCCAGCGTCGATTACACTTTCGACAGCATACTGGCCACGGAAGACTCGACGGTCGGTGAGATGACCGATGGTTTGTTGCCTGAATTCGAGATAGCCAATTACACGTTTCGAGTGGTGTTCGTGCCTCTTCACTTCGGGGTTCTGTACGCTACCGAGGGTTGGAACCTCTCGATGTCGTTGCAGAAGGTGTTCGACACGCCCAGTTACACCGGCGCGATTCTGACCTGCGGCGATTCTCACATCGGTGTTTTGAAGAGGGATGAAAACCACTTTGCCTGGTGGACAGTCAGACGGACGAAGAACCTGAGGATCGTCACTTCTGTAGACATGAAGGAGTTCCTGAAGTTGATCGTTCAGGAGATCGACCAACCCGAAGAGACAATGTTCATAATGAGGGTGATCACGGTTTCCTACGGCCAAAAAATGGATCCCGACTGCAGCGACACGAGAGGCCTTCACGAGCCAGTGGTGCCGACCACTTCGTTGCCAGAGATCCACAGAATTCCGGCTAAACCTTACGATCTCGAGGCGATCTTCAGGCCGACGGTGCCTGAATCGAACAAACCGATCTTCATACAGGGAACGGTCGCTCTGAACAACAGAGACACGGTGACGGAGCCGAAAGTCAGGAGATGTTACTTCGTTGCTGCTTTGGCGGTGATGGTGAAGAGAGACATCATTCAAAGCCCTATGCCGGGAATGATAGACAAAGTGATCGAGGTTGCTGAATCGGTTTACAGAGAATTCCCGGAGCCCAAATTCCATACGGAGCACATACTGCGCAACGTTACCGTGATGAACAGAATCTTTGATTTCCGCGACCGGGCGTCCCCGTTGGTGACGCTCACGGTCAACCCACGAACATTGAAAACCGATTTTTACTGCCAGGTTAGCAGATTTGCATTTTACTCGTTACGTTAGGATAGTTTCGACGAAACGTCGTTTGATTTATTATAAACTTGGGAATGATGAATGTTTGCATTTCGACCGCAGGTGAAAAAACACTTGAGAAAGTACTTCAAAACGGACACAAGTGGAATCCTGCATTTCACCAATTGCTGTTACGGTTTCTGGTACTCGAAAGCCACGAACGCGTACTATTACTTGGATCCTTACCAGTGCAACGAGAAGGGGAGGAAAGTGTCGAACGGTGGGAAAGCTTGCCTGTGCATTTTCCCGAGTGTCTGTCAAATGGTAAAGAACATGCACTTGAATCAGTTCGAGGACACGTCTGGCTTCTTTATTCATCGTTTCCACGTCGATTCGGTGAACGTGCCTCCGTTCAAGACGTTCAAGGAAGATCCAATGTGGTTGTACCTGGATTATCATTGGAACTTCAGACACGCTCCGGACATCGTGAAGTCAAACGCCAAGAGGAGGAAGCACACGGATGAACCGGAGAAGGAGAATGTCAAGCAATTTTGGAACAATTACGCGGTCGAGGTGTCCAATCTTATTTACTCCGTTTGGGGCACCATTGGCTCGTACGATTCCAGGTTCGGCGACCGAGCTGGCAAGAATCAGGCAGCCATTTGCGTGGCGGTTCTTGCCATGCAGTACCTCAGCCACCCGTCGAGATGGGGCCCGGCCATCTTGGACTCGGCGGTGATCTGCGGGGACTCTTATTACACGGAGAGCCTGAGAAGCTCTGTCCAAAAGTCTGCCAAGCATTTCAACAGGTTCAATCTGCAAGTCTCGTTCAAGATCTTCCCCCATTTGTGGACCATCGACTTTAGAGACGGCATCTGCGGGATTTTGTACGGTGCACGGAACAGACTGACACTCGCGAACGCGTTGGTGAGATCGTTCGAGGAATCGCCGAACGTTCTCATCGAATGCAACAAGGTGATACTGGCGGCACTCGCGGCCAAGGACGGATACTACGTGGCTGATCCCTGCTGGGTTGGGCCACCCTTGTTCGACAAGGATCACGGAGCGATCTACGTTCTTCGTTGCAAAAACATGAACACGCTGGTGTACGCGGTGATCAAGATGCTCAACACTAACCAGAGGCTCGACTTCCACTTGACACCGATGGCGTTCACTTTCGAACAGGAGGACTTCAACTTCGTCGACGGGAAGACGCGAGGCGAGGCGAGGCGGAAGGTCCTGCAGGAGCCTGTTAGAACCATGCCAGGGAAGGTGACGGATCCGAGCGTGCCAATACCCGGCGCTCAAGCCGTTCAGGACGAAGATTCTTATCTCGCGTATCGCAAGAACCTCGAAACGGGGATAAAGAAGGGCCACGAACTGGAGACTCCCGAGTTGCCATGCGTGGAGCCAGTGTTGAAGAGGGACAATGTGACGAGCATGCTGGTCAGCACGACCTGGCATTTGAATCTGGGCCAGGCCGCACCTCTGGAGAAATCTACGCCCGTGTTCGACCCACAGCTGATCAAACACGTGCCGGAGGACTGCGAGGACCGGGTCGTTGGTTCGTTCGAGCCGACTCGCCACGTGCAAATGTCCATCAACGACCTGCTGGCAGCCTGCGACGATTACCCGAGAGTGGTAGATTTCACTGGCAAGCCTGTTGTACCACCGGTGATGCCGCTCGAGTGCACCGCTGCACGCAGCTTCCTCACCGACGATGCTCGTCGAGAGTTCCACGCTCGTACCGCGGACATGGCGCAGGATGTTTATGAAACGTACAAGCACCGGCTTCCGAAAACGGTTAAGCATCCACCGATCGACGATGGAATGCCCGTCGAAGATATTCACCCTATTACCGAGGAGGAGACGGAGGACGAAACGTTTACGGAAACGGAAGCAACTGAGACCGCCGAGGACGACTGAATTTACTTCTGGAAAATTCATTTCGCTTGCTTTGTCTAGAATTTTGGTGAGAGTCGCTTGCAACGTCTGTCATTTCGTCTGTTTCTGTGACATATGGGGACTGAAATCGTCGTAATTTTGATAAAATGTCTTTGAATTCTTGAATGGTACTTTACTGTCAGACGTGATTTTAATTTTATAAATCGGTCACTTGCATCTTGGAATCTGTTATTTCGTCTGTTTCTGTGGTTAACAAATTTTGATAAAATGCATTTGAATTCTACTGTCAGACGTAATTTTAACTTTACAAATCGGATGGACTTTGGATCTTAGATATTTGATGTTCTTCCGATGTGTCGAATAAATACGAATATCGATTTATAACATTAGGGTGCATGGTAATTCAAGTAACGTCTACTTTTATCCTGCAACGTTCAGAAAAGTTATCACAAAAATCTCAAGCTTGGCTCCGTGTTTGTTCCAAAGGATTCTTGCCAATTCGTGCCTTTAATTAAATACATAAACGCAAACGCATTGATCGAAATGTAATTTATTTGACAAAAATACGTACAAATTAATAAGAAAGTTCAATGGCGGACGGCAATTAATATTAACATTAAAACTTTACAATACAATGACACATAAGTATAATGGACGTTTATTTGTTTAAAAAGAAAAAAAACGAGATTATTTTATCTACGATGATAATGACACTGGTCTTCAGCTTAAAAATGACACGAATTTCAAGTGTTTTTTTTTTCTTTTTTTTTCTTTTTTTTAGCGATGATAAGGTACAACTAATTTTTATAAAAAGAATTATACAAATATTCGTAATATTAATTAATTAATGTTAGAACACTGTTATAACAATTCTCACGATCGTGTGAATACACGTTTGTTAGCGGTACGAAATTAGTAAAGTGTCTGTAACGTATAATATATTATCGTTCAAGCATACGAAAATTCACGATAGACAAACGCAGTTTTAAAGCAGCTTGGTTCGTTCACCGTTCAGATTAACTTAGTACAATGACCTTCTATTGCGAAGTGTAAAATATTGTTAAACGTTGAATGAAATTTAACGGGGGCTGAGAAACGCGCCGAGTGAAAACTCGCGCGTTTTATTTATTTCAGCTGTCAACAATTTACTTTCATAGCTTTCACTTTGTGCTTCAACTTTCGTAAAATTCGATAAACGATTCCGTCTTGAATCTTGTACGCATTATTCAACAGCAGCTCGTAGGTAGCGAACATTTTCAAGCGACTTTCAAACGAACAGCACGCACGATACACAAATGTTACATTTACAGATTACATTTAAACGCGCGACGACGGTATTAACAAGGAGGATTTAAGTACGTGGAAACTCTGACTCTGACTTCTGACTTTTGCATTTGATTTCGAGGACCTGATGCAAATCGGTCGCCTGACGTTCGATCACCATAGATGCAAAACGTGCGAAAATACAGTTAACAGAAGTTTTGCGTATTCCGTATAAGACAGATTCAAATTTTCTCACGAGGAAAATGTCCAACAATTTTTGGATTGCCACTGTTTAACGTTATTCTTACTATTTTTGATCTTATAATATTATTTTGATAGAAATTGTCATTGATCGTTTGCATCAAGTCCTGAGAAAACCTGCTATCATTTTGTTCTTATTTCACGGCCATTTTGTTCTTATTTCTTCGCGCGAGGTATCTCTTATTCTGCATGCACCAACTTCAACTTGCGTGTCTCGATTTTGCGCGCGAAAATGGACGAGTATCGGTTGGAGACTAACATTGGTTTATACTTGCTCTCGCTGAATCGTACGAATCGTACGATGAAAAAAATTTGAGGCATTGCGTTGTTCTAGAAATCGAGCCGATTGTCTCTTCGAAGCCTCCCGATATCGTTTCGATATTTGCAAAAATCGACATTTTGGGAAAAATCAAAGTCAATTGTCGGAAGAGATACTTTCATAGATAATTACCTGTTGAAACGTTCTCGATCATCATATTTTCTCGCGGATTGGAAATTCTCTAATGTAACCTACGAAGTAACTCGTAAAAAATGGGGACCGACAAGTAGATCGCGAGATCCTTTTCAGTTAAACGTAAAAACCGTGTTTATTATATGATATCCTTAGTGGTGTAATAACCTTTCGTCATTACAAAAATTCGCACACGTTAGAAATTAATTGAACCGTACAAATTTCAAGTGACACAATGGCTTCATATTACGGTGAAAAGGATCCGGCAACGATCGGAGAAAACGTAAAACGTTTGATTGTTTTGCAATGGCGATTATTGTTACGCCTTCTTGTGCGAACTGGCTGGTTTTCTTATTCGTTGGCTGTCTCCTGCTGTTCCTCCGTCGCTGGTTTCGTGTACAAAATTTCGGCGTATTCCGTTTTGTCCTCGGCTAAACGACGAGGTGGACCGCTCTGCTGCTGCTGCGTCAAGTCTAATTCCGCGTAAACTATTCCTCCCTCGCCCGTAGCAGGATTCGGTTTAGTTTCTTGAGCAGTTGGCACCCCGGTCTGAAGCTGCGGAATTCAAGCAATTTTCAATCAATTTCACCGAAATTCCTCTCCTCTCGTTACTCGGTTGGAAGATTTCGAAATTTCCGTCGCAGAAAATTTATCCTCCAAAGTGCGACCACATTATGTGCGAAATATTCATGGATATTTGCACACGAACACGGGACTACGAATTGTTAAAATGTCAAAAGTGAATTTTACAGTTAGACTTCGATTAAATTAATCTATCAATTAAATTAATTGAATTGATCGTAAGTAAATTAAATCAATCTAAATTAAATTAAATTAAGTTAATCGTTACTTGAATTAAATTAATCTAAATTAAATTAATTAAATTAGTCTAAGTTAAATTAATTAAATTAATCTAAGTTAAATTAATTAAATTAGTCCAAGTTAAATTAATTAAATTAGTCCAAGTTAAATTAATTAAATTAATCGTAAGTAAATTAAATTGATCTAAATTTACTAACGATTAAATTTAGATTCGATGTATAAAGGAAGGTGCCGGATTTGTGAAAATTCTCGCATCGCGCGCTGAATGTTGAGAAATATTTCGGAAATATTGTCGCAACAGCGAAGGAGATTTAAGAATTCTGGAAATGATCGAGCGCGTGGATCATCTCGAGTGAGAATAAGTTACCTTTTCGTCGTCGACTGTGACCACTGTTCTCATGGTGTCCGTGTCCGCGCCAGACACTTTGTCCTTGTTCCGTTTAAAGAGGCGGGACAGACTGATCCTCGATTTCCGTTCACCTCGAGGTCCGTCGACTTCCGTTCTGGAGTAGCGGCCGGCACTTTCCGTATCACTTCTGATCAAGACAATTTATCCTTTTTGAAAAATTCAACCAACTTCCATCCCATGGATTCTGTTTTTTTTTCTTTTTTTTTTTTTTTTCTATAGCAACGAGACACATTTTCATTCACGAGATGATCATTCTAATGAACAAAGAGAGACACACACACACACACACACACGGAGAAAACGATTATTCCATGACCAAGTGAAATTCTGTTTTTCCGCACGATGTTAATTTCTGGAGGAACGCGAGAATGAAAAATCGAAAAATGAAATTATGAAGTATAAAGCATACTGAAAGCGTATTGAAAGAAGTGAATGTGAGAAAAAAGAGTGTCATACTTTTAACAACGTACGCATGCGTTGTTTTTTTTTCTTTCGCTGGCTCGTTGGATGATTTAATGTGGCTTTAACGAGGTTTTAAACGCTCATGATTCGAAGAATTATAGAAATTATGAATAATCAGAACTTCATAATGAGTTGACCTTCCATTTTACTTGTATTATAACAATATTATTTTGCGTTAATCGATTCGTAGAATGTCGAAGTGTTTGCAACAGGCACGGTGAAAACAATCAATCATCTTTCGATAATTGTTGGCAAAAAA